CGAGAGGCAAGGTCACCTCTCAAGCACGGTAAGATCCAGTCAACCATGATGTCGTTGACGTAGATGAGGTAGTCCAGGTCGGAAAAAATGTCGCCATAAATATCCTGGATACCAGCGGCGGTGCAGCCCTCTAGATCGAGGGTGGCCATATGCAGCAAGGGCTCGGCCTGGAGAAGAACGAGGGCCGAGTTGACGTTTTCTTTGAGGCAGTCGAGACCTTTCTTGCTGTCACCGCGATAGGACTCCCACTTGGTTGAGGTTTGGTAGGCTCGGTGCCAAACGTGGTGGGGTGGTTGAGTCCGAGAGCCGGCCCGTGGTGGCGCATTGGTGCCAAAGGCAACACCAAATTGGGATGCATCCACTGCTTCCATGGGAGAGCGCCTGGGCGTGGTGGCTCTATCGTCATGTGCGGGAGAGCTCAAATAGCCATGACGATAACGAGAGTCGTGAGAGAGCGATTCGTGCACGGGCTCTCTCGGGAGCCGGGGTAGAGGGCGATTAGAGGCCAGGCCAAAAGCCACTTCGCCATCGCGGGCAGACGGGTGCGCCGCGGGCGAGGGAGCGAGCAAAGAAAAATCGGTCGCAAGGTCACGAGAAGGCGACTGGGTCTCGTGCGCGCGTAACGAACCATGTGAGCGGCCCCTGTCCGGGATGAGCCGAAGGGCAGCGTTTATCTCGCGTTCAAGCTCGGCAATCTGCGATTGGAGCTGATGTTGGGAGCCTAGAGAGTGCACTAGGGTTTGAAGGGTCCTGTGGACCTGGGCCACGGCGGCGTCATTGTTGCGGGGGGATCCAGGGCCCGCGGCGGCGGCTGATGTGGCGGCGGCGCTTGCGGCATGGCGAGAAGCGCTCGCTGTAGCCTCGACGGGAGCGGCTCCTGTCGAAGGCGTGGCCGGGTGCGACCCGGTGGCGGCCATTTTCGGTCTTTCCTCTTCCTCATGCTCGTTGACCAAGCAATCGAGAGCGTCGGGTTCGGCATGATCTTCTTCGTGCTGGAAGTCGCGCGTGAGGTCGGTGCGAGCCTCAAAGTTTCTGGTGGCAGCAGCGCGAGCAGCGCTTTGCACAGCGCCACGGCTACGAGTGACTCGCTGGTCAACAGGAGTATGCATAACACTAAATGGCATGGTGGCGATGATCAAGGAAGGGATACGTATGCAAAGAAAAACGAAAAGAACAAGCAAGCAAGCAGGCAAACAAGAAAAAGTATGACAATTTACAGCAAAGCGAACAGAGAGGTTTTTGATGAAATTGAATCGTTTTAAAAGCACAAAAACAGAGCACAGCAAGCAGAAGACACAGGGAGGAAGCAGGAG